CCCTAAAAATTTATTAAAACACCCCTTTAAAAAGAACCTTAATTTGGCCAATTTCAATAATTTCCTATTAGCACCCGCAGCATGCCACCTCTCGGGGTTCCAAACCCCATCCTCAAGGTGGGCCCTTGTGATCTTAATGGGCCAGGCCTGCGCGAGGGGTGAGTCGCGCAGAGCCAATAGGACCGTCCTCGGATACATTAGTTAAATCATAAGTCCGGCTGTGGGAGATCAAAAGAAGAAGGGGGGGGAAAAGATTTTCAGTCTCGGCCACACCAAGTTCTCCATCGGCTGGAACGGGGCCAAAGCCAGGATCCTCCAGGCCATCCTCCACCGGCCAGAGACAAGGCCGAGGCCACGTCTCCTGTGCCCTCCGGTCGTCACCAAGGCCTCCAACGGCCGAAGACAGGTCACCCTCTGGGTCCTCTGGGCCGTACCAGGCCCTCCGCTGAAGAGCCAGGGCTGGGGAGGACAGGGCCGGAACCGGAGCTTCCGCCGCTCAGTTGAAACAGGGCCAACACCAGGCCGCCCAACCAACGCTAGGCCGCCCGACCAACCAGGCCGGCCAGCGCCAGGGTCAAAAAGCCGAGCAATGGGGGCGAAGTCAAGTCTCCAACCGCCAGGCCGCCAAGGTCTTCCAGGCCGCCCGGGCCGAAAATAGGCCGAACGCCAGGCCGCCCGACCAACTGGAGCAGGCCCGCGTCCGGCCGGGGAGCCGAATAATACAGTCCAGACCAGGCCTCCACCACCAGGCCGCCCGAGATCTTCCTGGCCGGAGTCATTCCATACCGCCCAAAAGCCAGAGATTTCCATGCCGCCCAGGTTCTTCCCGGCCGCCCAAGTCCTTCTACACCGCCCGAGTCCTCTCAGCTTTGCGGCCGGGTCCTCCCAGCCGCAGTCGAACAGGCCGCGTCCTTCCGGCGGCAGTCCAAGCTGGGCCCGAGCTGGAAACGGGCCCAGGCTGAAGAGGAGCCGAGTCGGGTCAGGGCGGGCCTAAAACGGGCCTAAAATGGCCTAAAACGGGCCGGGTAGGCTAGAACGGGTCCGAGCGGGGGTTCGCCCACCCGCTCGTCGCCGCAAGCCCCCCCGAGGCACCCCCAAAAACACCCCGTACCCACATTGCCGGGTCCGTAGCTACGGAGCGATCCGCTGCCGGTCCGCCATCTTGGGCATGCGCAGGGGCATGCCATATTTGTTTAATCACTGCAGCCTTTAGCGACTACAGTGTTCACTTACCAACCACTGGAAAATAGATTGTAAAATTAGAGTAATTACATTGTGACTCTCTTAATGATTGCCATAACTTACTATTGTAATTCCTGGCTTAATTACGGTCGTAAGTAGAAGACTACCTCTGTGTAAAAATGAACTTTAAAATGATTAGATGTACAATTTGTTATTAATGATATTTATAGTATATCTACACAAATATGATAAATAAGAACTGTATTTATCTGTAGTTATTGATTTAAAATATTTCTTTTTTTCCCCCTGAAAAGTATACAATGCTTTCAGGACAAATACCCTTTCAGTCTCAAGATAGCAGTATAATATGTACAAATGTTTTGGAAACAATGAAGAAAATTAAAAGAGGGGAATTTTCATTTCAAGGAGATGCTTGGAAAAATGTTTCTCAGGAAGCCAAAGATTTGATACAAGGTATATATTGATCACTGACTTATCTAATAATTCTTAGGAGTATTAGATAGACATACAGAAATTTTATTTTGTTCATTGACCAATAAAAATACCTTCACTAAAATGAACAAAGCAAAGTTAATCCATAACATTAATGACTTCTTTATAAGTGAATTTATACACAGTGTAGCAAAATTTTGCTACTTTCAGTGATATAAATTATCCTGGTTATCTAACAAATAATGCAAATAAAAATTATTGGAAGTGCCCCAGAAATGTAAATAATAAAGGGATAAACGGCTGGTGGTAAATGTCAAGATAGACATGGCAGTACAAAAGAAGATGGGGGTATTAGTAATTTAACTGTTGGAAATTACTAAAATATTTGCTGAGGATGCTAGCACAATTTGTATAAATTAATAATTGAAAACTTTATTATAATAGATTTCTGTTTCTTTAAAACAGCTTCATATTTTATTCTTTCAAGTTTTATTTTTATAGAATCTAATTCAGATCTTCCAGCTTTCAAATTTGTATGTTTAAAAAAGTTTCAAGGTTTGAAGTACATAGACATTTCTAAATTAAAATTAACAAGGCAATCAAACTTAATTAATATAATATTTTGTGACCTTTCTGTAAATAAAGTTTCATTGTAATCAATTTACATAAGAGGAATATCAAAGTATATACATTTAAATAAAGATTAATAAATTCAGCCATTTTAAAAAACTAATTGCCAGTATTTAAGTTAACTGTTTATAAATGAATGTTAAATAAGTAACATTCAATAGATAATGTTTGTTATTTTAAAATATCTAATGCGTTCATACTAGGACTTCTCACAGTGGATCCAAATAAGAGGATTAAAATGACCAGTTTGAGATACAATGATTGGCTTCAGGATGGTTGCCAACTGTCATCCAACCCATTAATGACTCCAGACAATTTAGGATCTTCAGGAGCTGCAATACATGTCAAAGCAACTTTTAATGTAAGCTTATACTACCTTTTTTTCCTAAATGAAACTATATTTATTTATTTATTTATTAAATTTATATTATAATATTTCTCATTTACTTCAGGGGTGTCAAACTCAATTTCATTGAGGGCCACATCAGCGTTGTGGTTGCCCTCGGCAGGGCGGGTGGGTGTGGCCTACTGGGTGGGCATGGCCAGCTCTACATCGCTTGTGGCAAGGGTGCCTGTGGGGGCCTGGGCAGGAGTGGGGCAGATCTGACGGTCTCTGGCAGAGGGGGGTGGGACTGGAGCAAGCGCCAAGGTATGATCCCCCGGAGGAGTCTCACTGTCCCTCTCAGGCTATGCAGGGGAGCTGGACCATGGCACGGGCTGCCTGGAGCCCTGGGCAGCAGAGGTCAAACGGCCAACCCGACCCTTGAGCTCCCGCAGCACCAAGCCCAGCCCCATTTCCCCAAGGGGACGCCCAGCTGCGCTTACCTCCTCCTTAAGGCTGCTGCTGCTGCTATGCTTGCTCTCTTAGCCAGGTTGCTCATTATGGGTACGAGGGTAAAGTCAGAGGGAGGCCCACTCCCTCTCCATGTGAGGAGACCCGGCTTTGTATCCAAAGCATCCTTAGCAATAGGATGGGAGACCCCCAGGATAGGCTAGGAGGAGGGGGCAAGGGGATGGTGAAAGGGCAGCAGGGCAAGACTAAGGCAGGACTTCCCTCAGACCCTCCCTCCCTCTCCTTCCTTCCTTCCTTCCTTCCTAAGGACAGAGTGGTGGGAAAATATTTGAGATGAGGGAGGGAGAAAAACAGGCAAGAAATGCAGCTGGGGAGGTGTCACCCTTCGTGAGGAATGAAGAAATGCACCATCGCCTGGAAGTGGCCAGCAAATGGGGATGCCATGAGCAGCGTGAGTTACCTGCGCAATGTCACCCAGGCAGCGGGGCGCTTTCCTCACAGTACCGAGAGGCTGAGCCAGGCGGTGCGAATCCAAAGAGAAGCGCAACAATGCCCAGCCCCCAGCCTGCCTGGTTTCAGCAGGCAGTGGGGCTCTCTCCTCACAGTGCCGAGAGGCTGAGCCGGCCAGTGCGAATCCAATAAGAAGCACAACGCCGCCCAGCCCCCAGCCCGGTTTCGGCAGGCAGCGGGGCGTTCTCACAGCGCCAAGAGGCTGAGCCAGGCAGTGCGAAGCTGTGAGGAGAGCAACATTTTGGAAGTTGTTTGTAATTGCCTTCTTTCTAGAGCTAAGTGACTAGCTTAAAATCACACAGCTGATTTCATCCCTAGGGCAGGACTAGAACCCATGGTTCTCCACTGGTTTTCTATTCAATCCTAGATACACATAACCCTTAAAAAAACTTGTCTCTTTTGAGAGCCTACTCTTTGACATTCTCATGTTTAAGGTTCATATTTAACTAAATTGTAGACCAAAAATTCAAATGTCTCTGAATTGGCTAGGTGTGTTTTGCAGTTGATAGCAGACAAAGACTATGATCAAATCTATCATTAGTATGCAGCACTCATAATAGGCCAGGCCACACTTGTGGGGAAGTAAGAATGGAGCTGACAACCACAACAGAAGGAGGAGCCAGTGATCGGATTGGCTCCTCAGAACTCCTTTCTAGATCAAGGAGAGAACTAGGATCGCCCATAGGTTTGCTCCATACAGAGTCTGTCAGCCGGAAAGATCATAAAATAACAATCTTCAACCAATTTGAGACCTCTAGGAGCTAGAAGAAAATCACCCTGCCTAAGCCATGATTTGTGCCTTCAAGAAATGCTAGGTTTGCCTACTTTAGGAAGTTGCTTACTATTGATTTTCTAGATATTAAGAACCTTTTGAAGGAATAGTTTCATCACAGGAAGAGTTTCTTTCTACAGGATGAGATAAGTTTAAGAATGTTTAAGGATTAAACAGAAAAAAATAATTTTGGGATAAGAGCAGAAGAGGGATTAGAATGTTATTGGAAAATTAAAAGCTAATTTAAAGGGCTAGATGGACTTGAAAGAATACTTTTTATGTGTGTTTATAAAACAATATGTGAAGATTTTGAAATTAACTAAAAAATACTCTTGTGGGAATTTGTGCTGCTTGGAAAAAAATATGATAAGAAGAGACTTTGAAGGTTGACCAGAGGGAACCAGTGAAAACTAAGAATTGTTTTTGCTATTCTAAATAGGCTTTTAACAAGTATAAAAGGGAAGGATTTTGCCTCCAGAATGTTGACAAGGCACCTCTTGCAAAAAGAAGAAAGATGAAAAAGACAAGCACAAGCACAGAGACCCGCAGCAGTTCCAGTGAAAGTTCTCATTCTTCGTCCTCTCAATCCTATGGTAAAACTACCCCTACAAAAACACTACAGACAACACATCCTATAGACAGCAATAAATCAGAGAATATCTTTCAATTCTCTGATTGAAGATCTGTTCTCTTGGATAATAATTGAAATTTGCTGATGCCTGTTCTCTTTTGAATACAGTAATGAGATATGTTTACAAATTGCCCCTTCTAATATTTTTGTTTCAGTCTGAGGCCTGGGTTGAAATACCACTGTGACTGTAACCAGAATCAAAATTCAAAAACAAAAAAGTGATATAAAATGTTTTATTTTAATATATGTGCCTCTCCAACACTTTTTAAAAGACGTCTATAATCCAATGGCATAATCCTGCACTCAGGAGCCTGGCCTCTTTATTATATTTGGTTTTCATTGTAATACACATACACACATACACTGAGAGGGGGGAGGGGAGGCTGAGAAAGACTGAGAGGCTGTTTTCTATATAAAATATATTTTATTGTGCAAATTTACAAATGCATATGTGTGTCTGTGTGGATTAAATCCTCAACAAAGATGTGTTTCAATATATTTGCCAGAATCAAAAATAACATGTTTCCTTATATGCAGAAGCTATTTTCTTATGCAAAACATATACACAAGCCACTTGCTTAGCATATGAAGAAGTCCCTACATGACACATAAGCAGCAACTTAATTTATGTGATAGCTTGGAAACCATATAAAACTTTATTTCTTCCACTTTTTTCTAATGAGATAATACTATTTGGGATTTTAAAACTTGACTTGGAGAGAGACTTTTCAAATATAAAAATTATTGTGTGAGAATTTTATATTCCTTTTATCATGTGGATCAAAAAACTCAAGCTAAGTATGCTATGATATGTAATACATTAAAATTGGCAATTGGGTTGTAGCTTAATATTCAAAAGATTTTTATTCTGTATCAAGCATCTGTGTGGTTGATATAATTGTATTTGATAAGTAACTGAATGATATTGTGAGTATTTCTTGGAGATGCTGTAATTTGTTGTACCAATTTCAGTAAGAATTATGAGTTTATACTATTTAATCTTGCAAGACATTTTTCTGATATTTTCATGTCTAAACATAATGTATCTGAGTTTGCCTGTTTCACACTGGGATATACTTTAATGCATTTACGCATTGGAAAATTAAGGGGATATTTTGTCAAGCACTGTGCTTCATATCTCTACAGTTATTTTACTATAGTAAAATTTTCCACTGTAGTTATATTTTGGATTCATAAATGTGGATTTTCTGATGCATTTTTAAATGATAATATTTTAAACTATGAAGCACGATTTATAAATATATGTAGAGTTCTTCCATAGGTCACATGCTGCAGTTCTGCAAAAAAAACAACTATAGAAGTATAGTCTTACTGGGTAATTAGTGAGGCAATTTGTATAAAGTTAAGCTTGTATCTATATTGGCATTATTAGACCTCACTTAGTGTATTTTTGAATTACCTTGCTATATTGTAGAATGAACAATCCAAATTCTATGCAAATACTCCTTTTCTATAAAAACTATTAACTTCTTTACATAATCATATCTATTATAGTTTTCATAAATCTCTTGCATACTTCTTTAGGGAAACTGGAAAAAAAAAACCCCAGAGAAGCCTGAGAATATTTTCGTGAAGAATTACAGAGAAATAACATAATATGAATTTTTGTGTAATTTACTGGGTTTTTGTGGCCATCTTAATTTCAAGATATGTAAAACATAGAATTAGACAAGTTTTTCTATCAGATATATTTTGACTTCTACACTGTTATTTCTGTAAACTATGCATCCAAACTTGGATAGGACAGTATCTTGCATTGGTAACTATTTAAATGCACTTATGTTTTTTGTGTGAAGTAGCACAACTTTGAGTTTTAAAGAAATGAATTATTTAGCTTTCAGTTCTCTGCACACTTTTTCATGAGTATGCATCATTGAACTCCATGAGATATTTCAATAAATAGACATAGGATTGGGTTGCTAATTGTATACATTGATATATGTTATGTTACCTAGTTTGGTAATCAAATGTTTGCAAGAAAACAACCAAGCTCAGCGAGCACCAAGGACCCCATAAGTTAAACTTTGCAGCACAATATTGAAAACTGAATATTTAGATTATTCTGATCTTTATATATGCTGAGAGCAAAAAGATCTTAATTTGTGTGCATAAATATTACATTACTAATGTGGTGTAAATTAGATTTACTTTCTATACACATATATATATAGTTCATTTCAAACATTTTTCTCTGATAATACAGATAAGCATCTTGAAGAGAAGGAAATGTGTTCAGTAAATTACATAAATATTTTGCTATGGTGTGCCACTTTCCATTTCAAAATAAAGATGGAATAAAGCATCTTTTTAAATAAAATGTCAATCTTTTAGTATTTTAATTCTGATACAACTAAATTTATATGTAGTATAGACAACTTATTTTTAATATCTAATACCTTTGAGAAATTAAAGGGATTTTTTAAAATATCAAAATTTAAAAATTTGGTAGGATGTCATGAAAATCACAGAAGCATGGTTTCATATTGCTCAGGAAAAGGATTTTGTATATATTTCCATTGTTTCTTCCACAGGCAGCTATTGTGAAAGCTTGATGAACTATAACTTTATACTATTAGGGAGGGGATTTTCATGAATAGAAGCATAAGTGAGTGTAAATTGCATATTATTATTATTGATCTTATATTTATTCATAAGTTTGTACTATATTTAAAAGTTAATTATTTACCATATATACTTTAGTATATCAGTATGTATAATTATCTAGAGGAATAGATACAGCAATAACAATTAGAAATTAAATGGTACATGTGTAGCTATGTTTTCAAAGTTATTTTATGATATATTTTTCACAATCAGATCCACATATATAAACCAAATTACTTCTTGCTATTAATAAAATGATCAATGCAAGAATTAAACAACATTCCTGCTTTTTTATATGCTTTATCCTGTTAGTGGAAAGGTAAGATGTTAGGAGATGCTGAATAAAGCCTGTTTTATATCATTGTTGGGGATTAAACAGCTTATGCTGACTGAAATGATAAATTCGTGATTTTTATTTTTTCTCTGTTAAAAAGGATAAATCTTTAATGAGTTTAGCAGAGAAATATTTATTACAACCTTTTCCTAAAAGTTTACTATATTATCCTCTTGATAACTCAGGTAATAATTTATTACCCATAAAAATATTATTCTGTGACTTTAAAACTTTGCACCAGGCAAATAGGCGTTAATTGTAGTTAATAAACACAGGATGATATACCTGCAAGATTGGTAGAATCTTAAGTTTATTATAAGGTGTGCTTTGTAATATTAGTAATAGAGAAAGGTGGTGCATAATTCAATAAAGTCAGAAATACTGCATTAATTATTCACATTTGTTTTAATTTTAAGATTTATTTAATTCAGATTTATTTTAATTTTCTTTTGTGGAAGAAAATATTTTATATAATAAAACTCTATAGACTAATATAGCATAGTGGAAGAAATTGATTTGAAAATTAATAGAAGAATTTTGAATAAGGTTGTATTTTTAAAAAAAACATTGAAAAGTATTTGTTTAAACAAATTACTTCAAATAAAGAAAGCATCACATACTTCTTTGTTTAGACTTCTCAGATGATTACAGTGTGATTGCTCATTTTATGCACTTGGAGAGCAGGAAAATAATATTGCTGTAAAAGACAGATACTTCTGTTGCAACATTTATCTGCTATTTTCTTTTGTTTTGCATGGTAGATGAATGTACATCCAATAATTAAAAATTAGCAATTAAAGTAGAATAATTGTCTTAAGGTGCCACATTGGCACTGATTTACAAGTTTCTATTAGATGCTTCCATTTATATAATCCATTACTAAAACATCTTTAGGACAGTGCATACCTATGTTCTTTTAAAGGCTTGGGAGACACTTTAAGGACTTTATGAAATAATCTCTATGTACGCATAGACATCACTTCTGTTGCCATTGCTGTAGAAGTATCCATCTGAATGGTTTGTACTGCCCTAGTAATTAAGTACCGGTATGTGTAAACAATACTTCTGGATTGTCTGTTTTATCTTATCCTTCGTAAACTTTGTGTCCATCCATTTCTGGAAAAGGCACAACTAGCAGAAAAAATACCCCATCACCAAGTCTGCTGCAAAAAGATAGAGGACTTTCGACAGTAGTTCTGAAGTGGCATTCAGAGGCTGCAGGAAGGGAAGGGAAAAAGACACAGTGCATAAACTGAAGTTGTTCACCTGAGATGGACTTTAACTCATACAATCATTACCTAGGAAAATTGTTGCACATACAGGGTGACTTTTCAGTATATAGATAATTATACTTAACTTCTCTGACTGTGTTGGCTGGTTACAACAAGATTTGAGGGTTTTTAGGATAACTACAGGTAGTTCCTTGAAACAATTTCTTGTTAAATTTGAAAGATTGTTTAACTCTTAATTTAGTTTTTCTTGTTAATTGATTTATTTTATTTTCTTCAGAAAATTAGGTTGCCAATTTAGGGTGTATGTATAAGGTGTTTCCAAATCTCAGTCCTGGTTCACTTGCATGGATTAGGCAATTTATTAAAATATGAAATAAAAGGTTTAAAAGGTTAAATAAGAGGAAGAGCAAATCAGTCAGTGGGAGTGTTCTACTAGCAGTATAAAACTTTTGGAGTCAATTAATTAAATTGTTATAACTATTAACTTACAACTATTATAACTAAAATTCCCCAAATATTTCCTAGGGTTTTGAGATAAATATGAGTGAATATTTAAAATAAAAAGTCATGTTTATCCATTGTTTTACTTTAAAAAACCCTGTATATTGTAGGTGCTGACTCTAACATGAAGATATTATATGAATTCCAAAATAGGAACCAGTATATTTTTTTCATTTTTCATCCAGAGACAGTAGTTTCTTCCATAACAGGTGGCCTGATGAGAAATATTTGAATGAAGTTCTACTCAGGTGATCAATCTATTGTCAAATGAGCCTGATTCAGAAATGTCTGTTAATATTTCTTTTTAATTTATTATTTTGTTTGTGAGGTTCCAAATAGATAGCAGAAAATAAGATAAAATAATCTTTTTTTAAAATGCAAAAACTTTTAACTATTACATCTTATTATAGGTTTTAATTTTATTCATTTATTGGGTTCTTATTGAATATATAGTTTTCTTCTAATGCAAATCTAATATATATACTATAAATACATTTATTAACATTTCTGCCTGAAGTGTAATATTTATATGGTTTATATACAAAAAAATAATAATCAGTTAAACTATTGGGATAACTTCATTCTAGCTGGGCTAGAACTAGTCTTAACTTATGCAGATTGGAACAGGGCCTCTTAAAGATTTATTTTGATGAAAGAAAAATCCATGAAGTTTCTCTTTTTAGTTGTGGCTGACTTTATGTGTTATAAGCATCTATTCATAATATCCATAAACACAAACTTTAGTGGATGCTTTATTGTCATAATTAACATTGCTGCTCATCAGTTCCTCAACAGATTTTATATTTACTGGAATTGTCAATATTAGACATAGCTATATAAAATAATAAATATGCATGCATTTTACATGTGTTTTAATATGTTTACCATTTGGCAAGTCTTTAATGGGTTGCATCAACTTTATAAAGAAATCAAGTTGGAATTTTTAATTGTCAAAAAATATTTTTACCTTCAATAAATTTGCTGAAATGTTTTTGTGTGGATTTTATGCAAAAAGCAGTAGACTATGTATGTATGTTCAAATATATTTGTTTTACTTTCAAAACAATAAACTTGACTATGTATAAAACGTTACAAATTTAATTTACTGAATTATTGATGGGTATTGGTCTTGCAATGCACACCATAGGAGTATTAGTCTTTGTTACGTTTTTAAGGAACACTGTTGTTATTAATTGGGATGAAAACTAGCAGTGGCTTAGTGCAAAAGAAATACTGATATGCCACCCAGAAAGGGATGCATTCATCACATCTTCTCTTTGGCAGGGAAAGGAAGCTGCAGAGAAAAATAAGCAGAAAGCATAAAAGACTACTGCCCAGAGACACAGCACCAGAGCAAGGCATGTGATCACACAAAGGTGCCATAAACAATCATCCTCTTTCCAACCCAGAAGTCTAGGCTGTTGGAAAAGTTGCAAACCCTTGAGGGCTAATTTTTACAAGCCGCTGATCTCATCACTATGCTTTTCTCTTTGGTAGTTCCTTGATCAAGGAACTACATTGATCCTTGATCAAAAAAAATCTAATCAAGGAACTACCAAGAAGAAAACCATACCCTCATGAACATTGGCAGAGCAAGCTACTGTGTGTAAACAGGGAGCAAACTCTACATTTCTTTGCATTGATGTTACATAGTTGGGTAATGAAGCATCTGAAAAAGCTCAGAAAGCACCAAGGAATCTACAGTTCAACCCTGAGCTACAGGTACTCCTTTCTATATTTTCTATTACCCAAGCACTAGAACAGACATGTTAAACTCGCAACGTCACGTGACATCGCACAACGCATTGGCCGTTTTCCCATTGCCGGCAATGGGGTGGGCACGGCTTCCACGTGATGCGTCCGGCCCGCGGGCTGGCAAGTTTGACAGCCCTGCTAGAATAGAGTCCACCCTTGGGAAGACTATCATGCCTAATGCTAGAGCTGACCCTGAGCTGTACTTCAGTGTCAAAATACTGTATGTACCTTTTACACCCAATAATTCCTCTAATATTTGTATATTAAAAAGTTATTTTAACATTTTGAAGACTACCCAAGAGAAATAATGTACAAAACATGGAATATCTAATACATATTTACACTATATTGCAAGGACTGGATATGTAATTTTTAAAAAATATTACCACAGTGCAATTAAAGCCAATTTTAAATATGTAATGTTTATTAGTAGTGTTCTATATAATAGTATTAATAGTGTGTAATACAGGTAGTCACATGATTTACATTTGGATGCTTGACAACTTACTCATATTTATGACGGTTGCAGTGTCCCGGGGTCATGTGATCCCTTTTTGCAACCTTCTGACAAGCAAAGTCAATGGGGAAACCAGATTCACTTAACAACTGTGTTACTAATTTAACTGCAGTGATTCACTTAACAAACGTGCCAAGAAAAGTCGTAAAACGGGACAAAACTCACTTAACAAATTTCTCTCTTAGCAACATACATTTTGGGCTCAATTGTGGTCGTAAGTTGAGGACTACCTACTAAATTTCTTTGGATACACTCTACATCTTCTCCCTGTAAGAATAGGAATCAGTTGTTTTTCCACGCTGGGAAGAAACCTTGAAGTCTGGCATTACAGTCGTGTGAACAGTTTCTATGCGGAACCTTTTTATCCACCTTTCCCCATGAACGTGCCGGGGACGCAACTCCAAAAGAAGAGCTGAATGCCTGCGGAATAGCCCGCACCTTTCTCCTTTCCCGCCAAACAATGCCGGGTGCCGCACTTCCTCTTTTGCTCCGCCCACTCCTTCCCCCTCCCGCCTCATCCTTCTGGCCGCCGGTAGGTGGCGCTGCAGCGAACCGCGCTCGGCGCCCCTCCGGTTCCCGTTCCGGGGCCGCAGCCCGGCTCGTTCCGCCACCGAAAAGGCGCCCGCTGCCACGGTGCCGCAGCTGCCGCGCCCCCTCCCTCCGCCGGTCCCCGCTTTGCGGGGTGCCGCTGGGCCTGCTCCCGCCATGGCGACCAAGAAAGGGGGCTCGCGGCTGGAGACGGAAATCGAGAGGTGCCGCTCCGAGTGCCAGTGGGAAAGGATCCCTGAACTCGTCAAGCAGCTTTCAGCCAAGCTCATAGCTAACGGTGCGGGCCGCTGGGTGGGAAGGGACGGGGGGGGGGAAGTAAAGAGGAAGCCGGCTCGTCAACCTTAACGCCGACAGCCGCCGCTGCAGGTGCAGCGGGGGCGGGATGAGGCGGCTGCTTTTAAGCGCGCTCGGGAGAGTAGGGGATGAGCTGGCCTTATAATTAGCCGCGCCCGGTGTTTACACGCGCGACAAAAGCTAAACAAGTGAGCCCTCTGGGCACGTGCAGAGGCTCACTGCTTGTCTGCCGTGGAACAGACGCACAGCCCGTGGATGTAACGTTGAGGCAACCTGATGCTCTTCTTGGGTCATGTTTGGCAGGGAATGCTGGGAGCTGTAGTCCATTTCATCTGGAGGACATCAGGCTAGGGCAGTGTTTCTCAACCTTGACAATTTTAAGGCATGTGGACTTCAACTCCCAGAATTCCACAGCCAGCATTGCTGGCTGTGGAATTCTGGGAATTGAAGTCCACATGCCTTAAAATGGTCAAGGTTGAGAAACACTGGGCTAGGGACCCTTGCAGGGAGACGACCAGGGCAAAGGCCTGATGCTGTTTCTGCTGATTAAAAAAAACACTTAATTCTAAAGCTTTGCTACCCAGTAGGGTAATGTTAGAAGACGTGCTAAAAGCTCCCTCTATTTTAACGCCTTTCCTGGAGGCTGGAGAGGAGCTAACCTAGAACCTTATTTACCAACAGAATTATGCAGCAGTCTACACGTGACCTTTGAATATCTTGTATGTGTCCAAAACTTATTCTTGGCATTACATTTATTCTTGGCATTATTATTTTTTTTTAAAATGGCATAGGAATTCAATGGTAAGCTGTAATAAATTGTCAACTTCGAATTGCATAGCAACATAAAGGAAGGGGGGAAGGGGGTGGTGCAGTTTCCCCCTTCTGGTGCATTTTTTTCCCATCGAAAGGTTGCTGAAATGGCTTTTGTGTCTATAGCTTTAAAAACTTAATCAGATTGTATTAGGGCTTAACTCTCACTGAAGAATAAAAACATTGTGTAAAGACCATATTTTGAAGGGCTTATTTTAATTTCTCTAATGTTTCCTGCCCTCACTAACTGTAATATTATTTGCATACTCTGATATTACACAATCAAATGCCAAGAAAAACCCAAATGTTTAATGTATCTTTTCTAAGTTAAGCTGTAATCAATATCTGGCAGGAGTATTCTGATCTCTGATTTGTGAGATCAAATGGAAATCACTCTCCAAGGTTTGGGATAAGGATGAAAAGAATGCATGCTTGTTGGACTTAATATGATAGAACTTGTGGTTATCCTTTATGTTTGATGCTAGAACTCTGGCTATAACAAAACACAATAGGAAAAAAGTGTCCCCTGCATCATTGTATAACTATAGAAGTCTGTTTATTTTTTATTTATTTATGCTTCATATTTCTTAACTGCCCATCTCCCTTAATACTATATCTAATGTTAAAGTGTTAGCTACTCCACCATGTGAATTTATTAGCCCTTCCAATATCTCTGTAATTTAGAAATTGCAGATTTATGAGCATACTGCAGATATGTATTTAATAGATACAATATCTATTTTTGCAGATCAGGTTAATGATATAAGCTGAATTTTGGGGTAAATTTGCATTGTATGGCATTGCCAGATAGAAGATTTATTTTAAACGTATATAGGAGCACTGCTAGTCTAAATAGCAAAACAGAAGGAAGGGGATAGGGAAAAGGTAGGACCAGCATAAGTAATTTTATTCAAATAATGGATTGATTAAAGTCTATTGTGAAAGGATATTTTCATGCTTTTGCCTTTACTAATTTTGATACTATAGAAACATGGGTCTGAGTGAAAAGATTTCTGTTAAATAAATTTTATTTTATTTTATTTTAAATCTGAGAACTTATTTTCAAAATATGTAGACATATTTATATTTGAGGAGGTATTACATTACAGGAATACAAACATTTAAGATTTAAGATAAGAATGCAATATATTCCAAGCTATAAAAATCTATGTATTTTTAATTTAAAAAATCAGATTATGCTGTCAGAACTAAGGTAATTGTCTTAGTCACTGCTGTGTTGTAATTCTCTTCTCTTAGCAACAAAAAGACAAAGTTCACTTCCTGCTTAACATTTATTTTAAAGATGTATAGAGCTCCCCAATTCATGTAATTGCAGCTCTTGGTGGCATACATCAAGTAAAAACCAAACAGAAAACAATGACAACATTGTTGAAGAATGTTTACTATGACTTATTATTATTTATTTATTAAAATTATATGCCGCCCATCTAACTATTAAGCAATTTTGGACTTTCAGAGAATAATAATAATAATAAAGTTGGAAGGGACCTTGGAGGTCATCTAGTCCAACCCCCTGCTCAGGTAGGAAACCTTATACCATTTCGGACAAATGGCTGTCCAGTCTCTTCTTAAAAACTTCCAGTGTTGGAGCATTCACCACTTCTGGAGGCAGGTTGTTCCACTGGTTAATTGTTCTAACTGTCAGGAAGTTTCTCCTTAGTTCTAGGTTGCTTCTCTCTTTGGTTAGTTTCCATCCGTTGCTCCTTGTCCTGCCTTCAGGCGCCTTGGAAAATAGCTTGACTCCCTCTTCTTTGTGGCAGCCCCTGAGATATTAGCAGAATGTTCCTATTGTGCTTCTATCAAGTTTTGTGGACATTGAGCTAAGCTGCTAAGCCATTTGGTATGTCTTTCTGTGAACTGAGCCACAGGATGGTAAAGCTGGGCATTTGATTGATCAAATAAGTTGCCAGATGATGAGTGTATGGTAGATATAGGAAATTATAGTTCAGTAGCATCTGGAGATCAGGGGTATCCATGTCTTTTTAAAGATATAACACAATTATTAATCTTATTCCCAGTTAAGTTAGGAATGTAGCCTAAGTAAATTTAAGAGAAATAAGTATGCAAGAATTATGACAGTGAGAAAAAGAGTTAATAGAGTTCAATAATACATGCAGACCGATAGTGGCATAGAAGAAAATACTGATGAGAAATTGAGGTTTTAATT